CAAACATCACATACACCCATATTTGTTCGGCATCATTTTGAAAATATTTTCATGATTGGGGCTATAAAAATAATAGTTGAAAATATTTTGGCTCGCATGTAATTACTGTTTTAGATTATTATTTTTATCATCGGTTTGATCGTTCATTCATTCATTCAATCATTCATTCATTCCTTCGTTCGTTCACTCATTCACTCGTTCACTCAATCATTTCATCGTGTAAAATTGTTTCCTATGTAATTATCATTTTGTATCATCAACATCATCAGCAACATCATCATCATCAGCAACATCATCATCATCAGCAACATCATCATCAGCAACATCATCATCAGCAACATCATCATCATCAGCAACATCATCATCATCAGCAACATCATCATCAGCAACATCATCATCAGCAACATCATCATCATCATCAACAACATCATCATCATCAACAACATCATCATCATCAACAACATCATCATCATCAAAATCATCATTATCATCATCATTTATATAATCCTATTTATCATCATCATCTTCTTTCATCATCCGTATTATCATCATCATGATATTGCTATTGAACTCATACTACCATGATTACCATGGTCAATTGTTGTTATTATTATTAATTATTAATTTTATTATTGTCATTGCAATTGAACTCATACTACCATGATCTCTATTATTAACTTCTCAGTTCCGATGGCACATCAGTCGCTTCCATTGGCGCTTCATAAATGATATTTATTAATATTATTGTTATTATCATCATCGCCATTCTGTATAACCACCATTATCATTATCATGTATATCATCATCATCATCATCATCATCCTCATTTTGCATCACTGTCATCATCATCATCATTTCACCCCACATACTAACATCTGTTTCGCATTGCATCCCATAGCTTATTATTAATTTATTATTATTATTATATTATTATTTAATTACTAATTTATTCATTCATTTATTGTAATTTTACTTCTAAATTCATTTATTGTAATTTTACTTCTAAGTCCGTCACACTCATTCAGATGAATGAGTGTGACGGACTGTACGTTCTGTCAATCAATTTGCACATACCCGATCGTTCGTTAGATCTATTGACTCTAGTTATCATTAATGATGACTAACTTCACCACGAAGTACGAGATGATGATGACTCGCTCAAAAAATATCATCAACGATGACTGACTCCCTCATTGTTAGCAGCATTGATTAATTAATTTCAATTGATTATAGGCAAACGAATTTCTCATTGTCCAACTGACGCACGTTAGCAGCCCGACAGGGCAGGGCAACAACCCCACCCCACCGACACCACCCCACCGACCGACCTTCCATTCCCCTCATCCGACACTTCCCTGCAATTATTATCATTTCTTCTGAAACTCTGAGTTCATGCTTCTATATATATATCAGAAATTCAGAAATTGCTTTACTACTTGGCAATTGCATGATGACGACTGTGATGGTGATGATGACTGTGACTTGATGATGATGGTGGTGGTGATGATTGTGGTGTTGATGAAGAGAATGACATGAGTAAAATTTATAGCAATGTTGATGCTGGTTGTTATTTCATATTGCGGCATCACCCCTGACGAACGAACGAGCCTGGTATGAATCGGTTAATGGGACCATTCTGAGATGGAACAAGTGGCTTATTAAAATCAAATCTTCAGAAACTGAATCAAATTTTATGAGGCAAGACTAATCAAGTTAACTTCGATGTGGTCCAATTAACCGAGATCCTAGGTATTAGAAATTTTGAAACTAATAAGAAGCACTTCCAGGAATCTGCGCAGAACGCATTCGAACCCAGCCACCACGCGACAACCCCAACCGACGCAGCCAGACTGGCACGATGACAGTCACAATTAATATCATTAATGACAGGAACATAAAAAACATGCTGAAAACCATAAATCGGAATTGGCGTGACAAATTTTTTATCTTTTCAACTGCGAATAAATCATTAGCTAATTGCTATCATGTGACTTATATAACAAACAATTAATGAATTCCAAAGGAATCAAGTGTGTTTGTGCATGTAAGTGAATATGTGTGCGTGGGCGTGCGTGCGATTGTCTTCGCCTGCATGGCTGACAATTCATATGATTCCTCTTCGTACATTTTTCTACCTCAAGTATTCAGTCACAACTGTAAATACGTAGAATTGCTGCGAGTTCACGCAGGTCTGATGCTTGCTGATGATTTGTGCAAGTAGAAGCGTGTGGACTGCTGATGTGGATGAAGATGTTGTACGTTTGTAACTGTGCCTCACTTCGCGTGTGCCTCTGCGTGCACGCCTGCGTACTTCTGGGTGGTTTCCATTGTAAGCATGTGGTCGGGCAGATTTCGACGGGTCGGATGAAACAATTACTCCATCAGTACTTCACTTTATTACGGCCGTTACTCCTAATTACATTTCAATATTAAATTCCTCAACCGACTTGTCTGCTTGTCTTCATGTGCTTTTGTTCGTTGGCACGCTGCAGGTCTTGCATTCGTCTGTCTGTCTGTCTAACTGCTTGTTTGTTTGTTCGCTTGTCCGTTTGAATGACCATCGAGATGCGTGCGTGCGTGTGTGTATAAACGTTCCTTTGGCATGCAGATTTTAGAAGTTGTAGAAGTTCGCGAGTAAAGTGATTCCTAACGGGATCCACAATTTTTTCATATTTACTTGCTTCCTAGTATTAATAGTTCCATCGAAACAATTTCTGGCCCCTCTATAAATATCACATATACACGACCACAATTACGTGAACATCATTTATATTTATAATGGAGCAATCTTTCGTCACTATACCGTAATATTAATTATTATCGTCGTATTCACCAGCTTGAATCATCTTCATCATCATCGTCCCATCATCATCATCGTCCCATCATCATCATCATCATCATCGTCCCATCATCATCGTCATCATCATCATCATCATTGTCACATCGCTGTACACTCACACGCGACATCATGTTCTTCGCCATCACTTCTTCTCTCATACACTCATCTCAACATTTCTATCATAAATGGTCATCATTAACTCTGTCATCCTCACCATAATAATAATAATAATAATAATAATAATAACAATAATAAAAAATAATAATAAAAAGACAATGATATTCATCATCAGCACGGTGATCATTGTTTGTAAGCGTTGCAAGGTCAACAAGGTCATCACAATTGGACGCCCCTGAAATTAAAATCTTTAAAAAATTGCCCGTTGGCACTTTTAAAATCTGATCAGGCGGGAATGGAATAATAAAAATAATAACAACTGAAAGTTAATGACTCTCACATTTTCTATAATTTCACATTGAGCCAATAATTACAAATACAACTTCACGGTTCATATGTTCAGTTGTAAATGTATGCGTATGCGTGTGTGTGTGCGCGTGTGATTTTGTATGTTCGTGTGCGTGTGTGCTTGTAAAATTTAAAATATTAACATTTATTTATTCATATTTGCAATATTTTGCTACTAAAACAACTTTTTAAGTTTGAAATATTGATAATGATAGTGAAACAAACGACAAACAGACGAACAAACAAACAAATAACTAAGTAAATTTATTTAAATTTTGCTAGCAAGTAGAAATAATTTAGAAATAATAAATATCTGATGCGGTCTCCAGGGAAGATGTGCTTCATAAAATTGTGATGCTACCAAGTGACAGGCGAGACTAATGCTTGCCTACATCATTACGCTACTCGTAAGCAAGCCATGCGTTGCGTATGTACAGTAATGCGTTGGGTTGTGTCTCGGTCTGTCTATGTACACAATACACCCGTGTGTACAACAATATATTAGACGTACCTATCTATCTAACTATCTATCTAACTATCTATATATATATATATGTGTGTGTGTGTGTGTGTATATATTTGTAATATATTTCTATAGTTTTCAGTTAAATAGATGAATAAATTATCTTGTATGCATGTGTGTGTATGCATGTGTGTGTGTGTATGTGTGTGTGTGTGTGTGTGTGTGTGTGTGTGTGTGTGTGTGTGTGTGTGTGTGTGTGTGTGTGTGTGTGTGCAATAGCAAGCATTAATAATGGATACTTGGTGGTTGACATATGACAAGCTTATCAGTTTTTATAGACTGACCAATGTTGATGATGATTATGTTGATAATGATGATGATTATGATGATGATGATTATGTTGATGATGGTACTCGGACACCGTCTAGCCAAACAAAAAAATCAACCTGCATCATTCCAACAGACCTGACTTATCTTCACTGGTGGATGATGTGTTGATTGCTTTTGAAGGATCGTTCGAGATTGTAACTGTGCACATCATAAGATTGAAGGAATAATTTTGTAGCCAGCACACACTTGTAGGGATCAACCGGGCAGTTATTTCTTCAAATTTTAATTGCATTCAAGCGTAATTATATTTTGTAAGTGCAAACACTTTTTGGTTCTTATGATTAAGCAGAAGAAAACAATGTTGATTGTAAATGATTACAAAAGTGAACGAGATGCACTTGCTTACATGCAGTGGCGGATCAAAGCAACTTTGAAGGGGCCAAAATTTTGAAAAGGTTTAAACTTTTACGGAGAACCAGGATTTTCGCGGGGGGTGGGCCAAGGTTTGTGACGATTTGGCTACGACTTTATTGCTTCTCATATCCAATTTTTTACGTAGAACGGTCCTTCTTCGGACTTTTATAAAAAAAATTGCTTACAACGGGGGTTACTGGCTCTCGTTCCCTTAGACTCGCCACTGCTCACATGTTTCTGTTAGAATTTATTTTTGTAAAAAAAAAGAACATGCATTAGTTTAACGTGGTTCAACTTATTTGGGAAAAGGATATAACATTTTTATAATCAAACAGCTTTCATATTTTTGGTGATTTAAAATTTAAGGCCGCATTTAATTCTCACCGGGTTGATACTCTTAATGTTTTTATGATCGAACATAACGTCAACGTATGCAAAATTTGAATTAGCACGCTCTTCATCAATAATTTTCTAGCCCCACCAGCCTTCTTACCCGTATAAGTATATACATATATCGATCGAAATTCTAAATTGTTTCAAGATTTTGTTCATCAGAGTTCTGAATTGTTCAACCGGAAGTTCATCTTGCGAGGTCGGCTCGTTCCAGTCTAGGCTCTGAGTGCCTGTCCATTCGAAACTGCTGCAGAGGTTTGTGGTCATGCACGTTTCTAATTTTTTGAATGAGTCACCATCATCTCGTACTTCAACCAATCGCGGAGGCTCTAACAAACTCCAGCCAGCACATCTCTTACTGGATCTCCTCCTGGCTACGCTGACAGTAACGATGCTGCTATTAATGATAATGAGATGATGATGATGATAATAATAATAATGTTGATGATGGTAACGATGTTGATAAGCTAATGTTGATGTTCCTGCTGGTGCAGACTCTTAAATTCATCCTTACCATGAACGTCGAGTGCCTGCGATCAAGTGTGGGTCGTTAATTCTAAAGCGATACATCTTATTTGCTAACTTTTACACACACACACACACACACACACACACACACACACACACATATATATATATATATATATATATATATATATACATAATTATAATTTTATAATAATGACGCATATAGACGCGTATAGGCGAATTTAATCACACTCATCTTCAACACTCATTCATGTTTACAAAAAAAATCATTCACGTAATCATCAAACTGAATTCACCTCACAACATACACGCACACGAACACACGCACGCACGCACATACATACATACAGACATACATACATACATACACACATACATACATACATACACACATACATACACACATACATACATACATACACACATACACACATACATACATACATACATACATACATACATACATACATACATACATACATACATAGATACACACACCCACAAACACACACACACACACATACACACGCACGATTAACAAGAACAAACAAACAAATGAATGAACGCTTACACAACAAAATGAATTAATTCGATTATTCGCTTCGCACGTCAGTGAGTCAGAAGTTTACTTATAGATTGGATGAGACATGAACCTCATCTTGTTCGCCTCAAAGAAACAAACGCGATAAATACATCCTAAAATCTGTGTATTCAAAGTTTAAAATTAATTTTCATCACTGCTGGTATAAATCTGAGAATTTCTGTTAATTGCTACTTCGGCAACTTAAATACTGCAACTGCAACCAATTTCTCCTAATTCATACTTCTTGTTTAACGAATTTCAAATGGTTAACCGATTAGATAACCATATTTATACAACTACATCTATACCATTTCAAGTTCTTACAACACATTGTAATAATGATCAGTGAATGAATGATCAGTGAATGAATGATCAGTGAATGAATGATCAGTGAATGAATGATCAGTGAATGAATGATCAGTGAATGAATGATCAGTGAATGAAATACATCAACATTCTCACAACAGCTTACACAATAAACCACCAGTGCATGTTGTTGCTGGCACAGGAAAAGAAAAAATAATTGGAGAATACTTTAACATTTAAAATTAGATGAATATTTCGATATTTCAAATTGGTGGAATGATAGATCGGTACCGCATCACTGTTGTTTACAGAGTAAGGAGGAACCAATCATCAATAACTGTGCCACTGTTTAAAAGTAAATTTATCTGAGTTAGGGTTAGGGTTTAGTTTTTGAAAGTTAAAATATTTAAAACAGTTTAGTTGGTATTTTTGAACAATCCAAAACATTTTTTGTAATATTTTATTGCCCAATCAGATATTTTTTGTTAGTCTTTATATTGCAGCTCTGACATACGCAGAACCACTTAGAGTGTTTTGTATATATATATCTTTTATTATGTTCTTCATATCTTCATCCATTGATTTGAAGCAGCCATCTTCGCCACAAAGGCTGTTTATCCTTTTCACACGACGTAAACATGGATTTATGTGCACGCGCGAGCACCGCATCATATACGCTGAATGTATGATAGCCATTGAGATGTTAGACTCAGCGAGCATTTGAACCACTGAACCATCTCGCCGGCTAAACTTATAAAATCAACTTTATTAACAGCGTTAACATAAATTTACGAAACCTTCTATTTCATATTTTTATTTCATTCTTAAAGAATGACTTTTAGCCATTCTTACAAGACTCCTCCACAAATTTAAAAGCCATTTTGTGGTACCAATCTAACGCTCTGCCTTACAATAAATGGCTGGACATTAAAATATTCCACACTTTCATTTTTTCGGCCTCCTAAGGAAGGCCTGCTAATGCTAACAAATGGGCCGGATCGCAGGGCATGTTGAGTGTCGGTTACCGCCTAATCATCATTATTAATTAAGTTGTAATGCTTCTTACTCGGGGCTTGATTAGATTTCAACAAAAATTAAAAAGTAGATAATAAAAATAATTAAATGTCTTTCAATAAGAAAATGCTACCAGGCACCCAGCCAGCATACATTTCATTGTTCATATGCAAGAGGTTTTGTGATGTCGAGTGATATGCGATGTTAATAGAATGGTATGGGATGTGATGATGCGTGATGATGTTTCATTCAATGTGATGTGAAATTATATGAGGTAATAAAATCATATGTAATGTATTGAAGTGATGTAATGATATGTGATGATATGTGGCGTAATGATATGTGATGTAATGACATGATGTGATGTTCTAATGGCACAAACAACGAATAGCAGCAAATTGTCGGTGGGGCGTGTGTATGTTATTACCAAGCGACCAGGCAGGCGCGCTGAGTCGCAATGTAAACATTGAAGAGCAAACAGGATGTGTGATTTTTCATTTTATCTCGCAATCAACATCACGCCCTGTTCGTAGCATCAACTGCTCATTAAATGTTTACTCTTCATTGCTAGCTATGCAGACAGACTCAACTAAACTATCTTAGTATCTATTTTGTGCTGTATCACGTTTGATACCTATCTTTCACGGAGTCGATAGGGAATATCATTTAAATGGAAATAAGTCCACTATTAATAATTTAACAGTAAGTAATGGGATGATTTTTTGCTCATGCTGACATTAACTAATAGCATCAATTAAATAATTGAAATTAATTTATATACGCCCAGCACAGTTTCAGATGAGTTAAATTTCAGCAATTAGCGTCGATGTTGGTGTTATTAACATACCATACCTGCTGACACCCATCTGAATGATGCTGGCTGCAACTGCAAGCACTGCTCGTAATGTCCTACGTACAAACTCATAAGCACTTTATGAATGTAAATATACACGTAAATTTGTACATTTTGTGTCAGTGATGAATTTAACTTTTGTAAATATTTCTCATGTGATCTCTGATGCTTATGCGTGGATCTGCGTGCGTGTTAAACAAATATGTTTGGGAACATGCGGTGGTTAGATAGGAGGAGTCATACTGCGTGTGTATGTATGGTTTCTGTACATGCTGTGCCTAACACGCACATGCACACATTGCACGTACTGCTTGTTAACTGGAGTCTCGTGATTGTAATTCTACACTTTTTAAAAGATTTATGCAATGTAGTTAACAATTCTGTGTTGTGGGCAATTAAAAGTTAATAAATATTGTTTGTATGTGTTTGCTTGTGTGTGTGTGTGAATGTTTAAGTTTGTGTGTTTGTTTGTATGTGTCTATGTGTTTGTTTGTATATTCGTCTATGTGTTTGTGTTTGAACGTAGTTGCATTGTTGTAGTTATTAAATGCTTATGTGATTTGATGGGCTTTTGTTTATTTAAGTTAAACAATAAATTATAATGTTTGATAGGATTTGTAACGTTGTTGCTGTGGCATGTTAATGTTGCTTGACTGGTCCGTGTTGCGTGAAATTAACGTTGTGCTGATGTGTTGTTGTGCTGATCTGTTGTTGTGTTGTTGTGCTGGTGTGTTGTTGTGCTGATGTCGCTTTGTGGTGTTTTTCTTAGACGTAAGATGAGACATCAAATTATTTCATGTCGCTGTTCCAAACATCAAAAAAGTATCGTTTGGACAAATTTTCCTCACAACAATTCAGCACGTTGAACGTTGTGCAATCTGTGTTTTGAATGTGATTTGTTGCTCGTGTCATATTTTGTGGAAGGAATCTCATAATGATCTGGATGGATGGGGAAGGAGGGGTAGTATAACTATTTTATTTCGTCAGACGCTGTTCACTTAATCTAGATTTGCGTATTATTTTTTATTGAAATCATTTTGTCCTATTTATTCTGTACGAGCAGCGCCATTTTGTACAATTCATCTCGTAACAGTCTGCAAGTTGTGATAACTATGACGTACCGTAAGGAAGTTTGTCGTCAGGGAATCTTTAAAAAAATTACGTAAAAAAATCATTAAAGTTATAAGAAACAAAAAAGAATTATTGAAAATCTCAAGCCATTTCATGTTTAATTTCGCTGGTACTTTTGTGTATTCAAATGTCTTCTACCTGTCGTATTTGTTTTTAATTTGCTATAAAAACATAATTTATCCTAAGAATGCCAAAAATCACAAATTCTTCAGCCCGTTTTTAATGATTATAGGAATAATTTGTCAAAATCGCAATTCTCAACGAAAGCCAAAATCACGAAGCTGTTTATGACATGCCAACTATGCGCGAAACCTATAAAGAGCGATGTACTCATGAAAAAAAAACTAGAGATGCACCGAAGGTTCAGCCTGTCCAAACATTTGGCCAAAATTTGACATTCGGCTTTGACCATTTTAAGGCCTAACAGCCGAATAGTGCATTTTCCGTTAAAATCGTAACTTTTACTTGCATTGTAGAATAAAAATTGTTAACTGTTATCAGTTGGAAATTTATTTTGACACCATAGTTGTTGGTACAATACATTTGAATTTGAACGAGAGATTGAATGTCATCTCGTTAGAGAGTTGATGGACAGACACGAACAGCACACCGTTTTTCAGTAGCAAGTTTTTCATTTTAAATTTTTTTTAGATTGTGGGTTTTTTGGGCTTTGGCTTCGGCCGACTGGTGGATCAACTAATCGGCCATTTGACTCTTAGCCAGGCTCTTTATTCAGTGCAGTGACGTTTGAGGCAACAAATTTGTTTTAAACAGCGCACCCGCACAGGCATAACGCTGAACAACAAACGCGAACAAAACATATGAAAGTACAAACTAAAAAATTGCAAAAACACGTTTTATATGCATACATAAACACAGAGAGATGCACGTACATACACACATGCATACAAATTTACACAGTGGCAACTCTGGTGGCGTTGTTAGTGTTATTTTTGTTGGAAGTTAAAGAAATCGTTGTTTTGACGATTATAGTAGTGTTTTTGAAGTAAATTTCTGACCAGAATACCAGAAAAGTTGCCCCCGAAAAATATTAAAATTCTCCTCCCCCGGTCATCAAATTTTATTTAAAAATTCCCCTCCTTCCAGTCGTCAAGTATATTCTTTTGAAATTTATATTCTTTTTGAAAATATTGGCACCCGTCAAAGTTGCTTAGATCCGCCGCTGACTGGAACGTACACACAAATTTAATATAGTTGAACTTTTTGGCAATCCAAATGATAGAATTTATATTAAACAAAAGATTTCTCTATTGTTACAAAAATGAAAGGCTTTCTGTATTTTAGAAAATATCGTCCAATGCCCTCCTATGCTAGATCCATCAACTAACATTAACAAGCGAGTTGAGGCAAAATGATGGCTTTTATGACTTGTTCTTAACCACGGGTTCGTACATACAAACAAACACAAACAAACACACACACACACGCGCGCGCACACACGTAGACACACATTCCCAGGTGCCAGTGTCACCTTCACGCATGTCCGATAAGAAAGTTGATTCACTAATTAGTGAAGAGCAATAATTGCGCTCATGTTCAGCACTTGCCTAGCCTGGGTGGGCGGGCAGGTTCAGCTATTTTATTATTGTAACAAATCATTATTAGTTTCATTCAAATGCACTTCTCCAATGTTGCTCATAAAATGACCAAATTGCTTTTTTTACAATACTTGATAGTCTCCTAACAAATGTTTGAAACGAACAAATCTAATGCTGACAGAGATGATCACAAAAATTATTTAAGATGCACAGCAAGAGTGCAAATTAGTAGAAAAGTTGAAAGATGAACAAAGTCGAAGTATCTGAACTGCACTGAACTGGACGGCACTGCTAATCTGGGAGGAGTTCCTTGCTTGCATGGTGGGTGGACGACCACACAACTCGAAGAACGTTGTTTTCGGAGTGGTCAATGGTCAGTGCAAACTTATCACTGTAGCAAGTGATGATGATGATGATAATTACTGGTAGTGGTGATGATGAACCGACGAAAATGATGATGATGAACTGACAGTAGTGACAATTGCAACTTGAAAAAATATTTCAACCGTGTTTTAATTTCTAAATATTTTTTAATGACATCTTGAAAATAGGACAAAAAAACAATTTAATTGACGTAAAGTTTAAAATAAGATGAAAAGAGCAGCTTTGAAATTTTTATTAAAATAAACAAATGCAGAATTATTTAAAGCACGGAGAACAACTCGAGTTCCATAAACATCATATGTCTGAAACATTTTGCAAAACTTCCAACTTTCGTGAGCAACCAACTTGCAACCAGCTTGCAACGAACTTGCAACCAGCTTGCAACCAACTTGCAACCAACTTGCAACCAGCTTGTAACTTGTATAAAACCGCAACCAATTAACCCTGCAAGCAATCAAGCAACTCATTTGATTAAGAAGCATTCATCAGGTGTCGCATTCAACATTTCAAAGTTAGAAGATGTCTCTGCATTTGTCAGCAGCAAATCCGCGCGCTCTAAAAACGTTACTCACATTCAGTCCCCATAATTCCATACATGCACATCACATAAATACTAGTTCTCTCTCTCTCTCTTTCTCTCTCTCTCTCTCTCTCTCTATATATATATATATATATGTTATAGAGAGAGAGAGAGATAATGTATTTTTTATATATAATGTATTTATTGTACACAACACGAACATGATACGCCAACACGTTTGTACAGGCTCCAAAAAATGATTGCCTTATCCGGATGTATTCACCCAAAGGAAATGTTTACAACACTCATATACAAACACATGTTTTTACGCAAGCACACACATACACATTATTTTGACGTACTATATATATATAAAGAACTTCTTACAGATAGGTTGAGATAGATAGAAAACTTGAATTTAATTTATTTATAAATCCAGATGAGTATGATTCGATCACACATTCATACGCAAATGAAATGAATGCGAAATGAGTGTACACTACCTTGCGCATACCGAGACATACATCACACACCCACGCACACCACACACACACACACACACACACGCACACACACACACACAAACAAACAAATACACACTTGCATACACAGATTTTGTTCAATAACGACTTTATTTTATTTTGTTTATTGAGTTTATTTTGTTTGTCAGACTATATGCAATATGGATTGTGTCAAAAAATTAATTTAATAATAAATGAAAATAAAAAGAACAAATATTATACATAATAACAATAAACAATAACAACAACAACAACAATGATGATGATGATGACGATGATGCTGTAATGATGATAATGATATGAAGTAATAATAGTAATAATAATAATACTAACTTGTTGAGCAATCTCGATGGTGAGTGTAATTAATCATCATCGTCCTCATCGCGATCATTTGAAGTGAAGCCACTTGTTCAATGAACATCGTGGGATCGTTCTATATCATCTCTCTGCGTTAAAACAATGCAACTTACAATCATACAAACATACAAAATTGTAAACATACAAACATACAAACTTATAAACATACAAACTTATAAACATACAAACTTATAAACATACAAACTTATAAACATACAGACATACAAACTTATAAACATACAATCACACAAACTTATAAACATACAATCACAAAAACTTATAAACATACAGACATACAATTACACAAACGTACAAACATATAAACAACATACAATCGCCCAAACATACAATCACAGAAACATACAAACTTATAAATATTCAATCATGATACAAACATACCATCAAAAAACAAACCTGCGAAATAAATTGCCCATTACTGATAAATGTACAGACAGCAAACCGGCATTCATATATACAAACAACAACAAAAAACAAAATAAACATCGTAGAATCGATACAAAAACATAAACTGACAATTCCAACCGAGCAGAAATGCAGACACACAAACACACACATTTTTGTATAATCACATACACACACACACACACACACACACACACACACACACACACACAATCTCACACGCACACTTACACACATTCCTCATACACATTGTTTGCAACCAACAAACAACAGTCACCAATCCCATCTTTTCAACCATTGACTGACCATGGAGCAGATTTAGGTCGATCTTATAAATATTGCTTGTAGAAGAAAGTGCAACAAAACGTGCAGAGTTTGTATGTGTATGTGTATGAGAAGTGTGTATAAATATGTGCGTGTAAGATTGTGTGCGTGTATGTGATTATGCCCATCTGTATTGATAGTGTGTGTTGTGAATCTGAATTAGTGTGCTTATGTGTGCGTGAGATTGTGAGTGAAAAAAGTGTGTGTCTCCGTCCGTGTGTGTACCCTCGTACGTGATTGGATGTGATTAAATGGTGTGTGTGTGTGCGTGTGTGTATGCGTGCGTGTGTGTGTGTGCGTGTTCACGTGTGAGACTGCCTGAGTCTGTCTGCGTGAAATTCAATTATTTTCTGGTATCTCACATCGTGAAAGTTAACTTCAATTATGCCACACACACACACACACACACACACACACACACACACACACACACACACACACACACACACACACACACACACACACATATATATATATATAAATGTCTAATTTTTCTGACATTAATAAATTAAAAAGAAATATAAAAAAGTTGAACAATGTTGAAAGTAGTGTAGAATTTTTGAAATGTTGCGTTAGCAACAGTCTGTTACCAATACATATATATACCAAACAAAGTCAGACAGCAAACATGAATAAATAAATATCTACATCTATAACAACGTGATTCAGCGAATGTAACACCATATATATTTTAATGCATTACAGCATAAATTATAACGCATTATAACATCACATTAACATCACATCACATAGAGTTGTAGCATCATTCGTGGGGTATATTTCAATGAGTATAGAACGGTGATTGCAATGTGGGTGCCAGTGGTTATATCTTTAACATGGTAAATAATTTTTCTATAAAGAAGTTACCTTAATGTAGTTTGTTCTATAAATTATATATATATATATATATATATATATATATATATATATATATATATTAATATATATATATATATAGTATTGTATGAATTCTACCGAAGTGTTGGCATTAATCAATTTAAAGTTTGTATTTACAATTTTTCTTACTAGAATTTTCTGGAAATTATCCAAGTTCATCATGAAAATTTGATGAAACTGTTGTTATCCGGATTCATCTATTTTGAATGCAGATGACATGTTGCTTCTGTAGTAGTAGAAAATTATATTCTCGTCTTGTTTGTTGTTGTGTTTGCACGTGTGAAGGTTGGCAAGGCACGCACGCAAACGCAAACACAGCCAGCCACCATTCAGCAGGGACCATAAAGTGATTAATAGCTAAGCATGTGGTCATGTTCAAACAACTCCACGCCACTTTCAGGGCTTAATAAATGACTCCAATTATGATTATCAAGCTATACACATTCGCTCTTTTATATATATATATATATATATATATATATATATATATATATATATTTATATATATATATATTGATGGTCATTGCGTATTCAATTTTCATTAAATATTATCGCTATAGTATTATTTTTTAATTTTAATTTCTCTATTCATCGAAAAATAAATTTTATTTTATTATTTAGTTTATTGATTAAATTAGCAAAATGTTTTTTAATAATCATTTTAAATGTTTTGTATTTAAATATTTTATATTTAGCGGTAAAATTTAATGAAAATTGTGTATTATATATATATATATATATATGTGTGTGTGTGTGTGTATGTGTATGTGTGTGTGTGTGTGTGTGTGTGTGTGTGTGTGTGTGTGTGTGTGTTTGGCTGCGTGTATTAATGTTTATATGGATGAATGTTTGCGCTGACAAAATTTATGAAGAGTGTGTTTGTATATAAATGCACAAAAACGAATGAATGCTCCCCATAAAGCAGGCCTTTGCATCTATTATTATTTAATACGCTACTCTGGTCACTTGCTTACTTGTTAATAAATACGAAATGCCATCGTGCCCACCAAGCACCATCCGCTGCTACCTCCTTCGTGTTCATTATTGTAACTGCTGTCAAAATTCTCATTGCAATCGTCATCGTTCATAACCGCTTTCAACAGCTTTAAGAACAGCTTCAATATCGTTTGAATATAAATTGAATATTTCTTTCTTCATCATCACCACCATCATCATCATCTCCATCACCACCACTACCACCACCACCACCATCATCATCATCATCTCTATTATCATCGTCTCAACAAAATAGATACCTGATCATAATTGTAGTGATGAGATGATGATGGAGATGATGACAGCCAATCAGATCAGCATCCTTCATCATCATCATCGTCATCTTCGTCGCCGTCAAAGTATCTATCACTGCTTTGTATCAGTCACACGTCCAGGTTTATAAAAGTTAACAATAACAGAGAGAGAGAGAAAGACACACAGAGACAGGCAGACAAAGAGAAAGAGAGAGGAACATACACAGAGATGAAACACACAGAGAAAGAGACAGAGACAAACACATGAATCAGTAGAAAAACATGCAGACAAATAAAAGCATAGAAAGAGAGAGAGAGAGAGAGAGAGAGAGAGAGCGTATAGAAGTGAAAAATAGAAGATATGAAGGAGGGGGTGAGGGTTGAGATATTATTGAGAAACTTGAGGGTAGAATTGCTTCATCGAACAATCGCCTTTCTACTTCTTGACTGTTGCTCGATGCGTTCAGATAAGGCAGGACGAGTGAGATTAATTGATCTGTCATCCTTCATATTATACACACTTTCTAATTATTACGTTTAGTTAAAAATAAATAACTAATCCGTAACTTCAAAAATAACGCGTTCTATGGATGGTTACATAGAGCAACCTTTTATTTAACAATCACGTATTACAGTTCAATAATTGAGGTAACGCCAAATATATGCATACCTACATACATAGATACATACATACATACATACATACATACATACATACATACATACATACATACATACATACATACATACATACATACATACATACATACATACATACATACATACATACATACATACATAAACACACACACATACATACACACACACACACATACATACATACACACACACACATACATAAATATATACATACACACACACACATACATAAATACATACATACATACACACATGCATACATACTCATCACTGGTCACTGGTTAATTTCATCACGTACGTACTCGTACGTATCTGTGTGGATGGGGCTCGATGTGTGCAGGCAGAATCACCTGGCTCAACCGCTCATGTCGTTAACTGCCGACCTGAAAAGTGTTTGCTCGGATGAAAGCAGCTCATTCACCTGTAGTACCTTTTCACATCGCTCGTCCTGGCTCACTTGCTTTGCTTGCACCTGTATCACACTTACCTTCAATCATTTTTTGTTTGTTTGTTCGTTCATCCACCACAATCATCTTTGTTCTCTTGCGTTAGAAGTTTAGAAGTTGTAGTTGCATTTGCAACTGCAGTGCCCCCTCCCCCTTGCTAACTCCATATCTTTCTAGTCTGCCATTGGGATGTCGATTTTACTTCTCTTTAACCGTTTTGTATTACTTCAGCTCTCATAAAAACACTCAATCATTAGTTTATTTCAAACGACATTTTACAATCTGTTGGCAAGAGAGCAGAACGAAGTGAAATGCGATTTCAAATCATTCAATTCAACACAATTTTGCTGTTTAGAAAAATTTTAAACGCATATTTATTTGGTTGTATCATCATACCTTTCAGAAAGTTATTCACAAATGCACAACCAACATTCATTTATTTTTCAAACATTTTTGAAATCTTCTAGGTTGGATGTTTTATGATTAATGAAAATATCTCCATTATTTATTTGTTAATTTGAAATTTTAAACAGCGCTGGGGTGGAGGGAGACTTCTTCAATTTTCTAATCGGCATCCAAGTACCGACCGTCCCACGACGGTCCACCGTTTAAAAGCTGCCTCTCAGCGACCAACAGCAGCTTGCAACAAAACTAATCAGTGAAACTTTGCAACAATTAGATAACAAATTATCTCTACCAACGTTGAGTTTGGAAGCAAACACGAGAAATAATTTAAGAGCCATCAACGGTAAAATAAAACATCCAACATAACACCAACATTAGCACCTCGTAGGAAATGTTTGTTTTGTAACATCTGCCTTTTTGAGTGAATTCACACAAAAATTTCTTTCATCTCCGAAAACTTCCAACTTGTTCTTCACTTTCCTCACAAGTGCACAACTTTGCATACAACGTAAACACGCAAAAGCATACAAGGACATTTGTTATAGACCAGAGTCTGCATGTAAGTTAAGTTACCGCTCAAATCAGGCGTACCAACGAAACATCCTGCTATTTTTAACAAGAAACTTATGACTGTACCGATAAAATTTTATTGCTTATGTAATTTTAACATTCAATGTCGAAAGTGGTGAAGCTTTCATTCCTTGATGGATGTCTACAAAAAATATGCAGCAAAGAACACGATGCATTGAAAAACTGAGGCAGGCTCCGTGTCGTTGTTAGCCAGTGATTTATAACTGGCATGCAACTCGAGAGAGAAAATGACGTGAACAGTGCACATAAGCGTGCACGAGTGCTGTACAAACACAGCCAGCTCATGTGTGGTGGTCCTTTATTTGCATTGCAACATATTGAATCGTTTTTATTATGTGCATCGAGTTATGATAGCACGCACACCCAACTATGCAATGCATTTCGTTCGTTGTTGGATTTCGTTCCGTCCAGCCAGCCAGCCAGCCAGCCAGCAACGTTCTTACTTCTTGATTGTTTCGAAGAGCTGACTATGTAGTATGTAGGGCACTCTGGAGGATAATGTTGATTTGTTACGAATGAAACTTGATCGGCATTTAATCAACTGCAAAAATTATTTTACATGCTATCATGCATATTATAAGCCAACGTTAACAGCCAATAACTATCTAATCGACTGATATAATTTAAGTGTAACTAAATATGAAATTGACACAGCAGTTGCCAACATCACGAAGCATATTCTTCTGCACAGTGCAAATACGCCAACGATAACACAAGTGTTGTAACAAGCCAACATGTGATAAGCAACACACCAGATACCAATTTAAAACAAATAATTCAAATTCGTAAGAATGGAAGCTCATTGGCTGCCTGCGAATGCATCAATTTTATTGCACGTGTCAATCAAACGAGAGTGTCTTCTCAAGATTCCTCATACTCTGCCTATACCTGTTTCGCATATTTTACTCCTTCTTTACCCAATGATTTAGATACAGAAATGTATACAAACCCATATCAGTATGCTTATATATATATATATATATATATATATATATATATATATATATATATATATATATATATATATACACCTGTTGATTTGGTACAAATTTATTTACCATAAAATAGTTGCTGAAGATTTATTTATCAAAATTTTCAAATTTAAATATATTCCAATTAAAACTTATTGCATCAGGTTTTACGATTATGTAAGATTACACTCTGGCAAATAATGAAATTTTTTAAAAATTAAATAATTTTTTAAATTTGTGTTGTTAATTATTAAATAGAATTAAATTGAAGTTTATTTTTTAATTTGTGCAGATCGAAAAAGATTTTCAACTTGGAAGGTCGCCATGATCGAGGTGCCCAACAAAGATTTGACAGCATCTCATCAAAAGTTTTTCCTTAATTACGACAACTTATCTCCGAGCTCTTCAGTAAACATTGACAACAACAACAACGAGTCGCAACAACACGTTAGCAGCAGCAACAACACTAACAACAACAACAACATAAATGACGATGTCACTTCTGAAAACATGATGTACTACAACCACCGATCCTTCCCGGATTATTCTTTACAGGTCGATACGAAGCCAATATTGAATTCAAAGGGCAGCTCATCGAAAGATCACTCCCAGCAGCAGCAGCAGCAGCAGCCATTCGACCTTCCATTGACGAACTACGGCGCCTTGTACGCATCCATCACTTCATCCATGAAATATCCGCCAAACGTGCCTTTGCTAACCACTACAACAAACCCGGGTAACCTGAGTTTTCCGAACCTCTACTCGTCCAACAGTTCTCAGTTGCACTCCAACGTACAGCAATTAACGCAACATCAAAGATCCATTGAATCAAGCAATTGTTTAGACTCCGGAAATTGTTGTTGGCAATCTGGAATGCTAGAGGCCCAACAACAAAACATCCAACAACTCAGTTATGCCAACAGTTCTTCCGCATTAAGCTCCGGTTATCCATCAATTTCTCCATTTGCTTGGCCCGATCCTTCATTCCCAATTTCTGAATACCACAATTCACTGGGACAGCCAACATCATCATTTCCTTCTTATGTCCCAAATTGGACAGGATACGGAGCATCTGGAGTTCCGCTCATGGAAACGCAGCAAGGAATATATCCCAAAATAGGTTGAACGTGCTTTAATTAAAAATATTTGAACTATTGTATTTGTATTTCTAAGCATTTTAAAATGAATGTTTTCTTTGCAGATGATTTGGCCGACGATTATTTTGGCGACCGAAAGGAGTGCGTGAATTGTGGGGCGATGGGAACTCCATTGTGGAGGAGAGATGGGACGGGACATTACCTGTGCAACGCTTGCGGTCTCTACCAAAAAATGAATGGCCTCAACAGACCGCTGACCAGGCAGCCCAAAAGATTGGTCGCTATACCGGGGGTTCGTTACTTGCTCAAAAATTCATTTCGTGTCGCCATGAAAAATCTTTGAAAACTGAAGTTGATTTTGAGATGGTTGTTATAATTAACATTCGAGTTGAAAGGTTCCATAGTAGGAAATGAAAAAACAAAATGTTATAATTTCACGAATTTAATTGGAAACACACCGTCAGTTAATTTAGCATGATAAATTATTTTTTTCATTTCACATTTTAATGTTAAGGCTGGGGTGAGCATATAAATTTATATTTTCTCGTGCACACACACAAACACACCACACACACATTTATAGTTTAATTTCTGTAAGTGTTTAATTTAAATGTGTACAGTACAATGTTGAAGATTTATGCAGGCAGAGTTTATAGGAAAGTAATTTATGTAAACAAGCGTTGTTGCTGATTAATGTATGTAAGTTTAATTGCTAGAGTGTTAGAGCAAACAAACAAATAAATGAAGCCGGGTGTTTGTTGCATAATCATGAGGTACGTGTACGTGGGAAGTCTTTCAATTATTCGTTTTAGAAAGCATTTTATAGCATTGTTTTGCGAGTATTTATTCATTCATTATTAATCAATAATGAACAAATTATTAGATATGTTTTTCGATTTATTTATTTATGAAATTTTAAATGCTTCTTGAAATCAGCAGCAGACTGCGCGTCGTTTTGGGCTGAGCTGCACGAACTGCCAGACGGTGACGACGACTTTGTGGAGGAGAAGTAACGAGGGAGAACCCGTCTGCAACGCTTGCGGCCTCTACTTCAAACTTCATGGGGTAACTTCCTTTCACACATTCATTTACATCTCTCAAATTTTAATACCTGCTTATATCATTTTGTAATATATTTTCATTCACACATGAGATAAACTTGTTTACAATTTTATAAATATTTCACTTTATATATTAACGGTTGAAAAAATGTTTCCATCTTAAGATACCTCGACCACTGTCCATGAGGAAGGAAGGAATTCAAACAAGAAAGAGGAAACCCAAGTCACCTGGCAAGTCCATGAACTCTGCTGATCACAAAGGTTATTTACATAATTTGTACGAACGCTAGCTACGATTTTCAATCTTAAAATTCATCATTGGCTTCAAGTTGAATATCTCATTATGTTCCGTTATAAATGTCAACAATAACATTGAAGACACTAATAACATCGCAACCAACACACCTGAAAACTTTTATAAACCTGACAAAATATGTACTTTCATGTGTGTGTTGAATCATGACTGTCTTCCTAAATATTTAATAATAACATGTCAACCAGAACACAAGGGATGAAAATCTTCCACGAATTTTTATTATACCACTATCTCAGTTTAACACTCTTTTTTAGGCTTGCTTTGCTTTCTTTGGTCATCATCTTAGGAATTCTCCATTTTCCATAACCACGCCTCAGTCTTTCAAAAGTTTCGGGTTCGTCTCTAAAACCACCTACTTACATGCTCACAACGTTTGCTTCTTGTTAACAGGGTTTTATCGTGACTGAGTTCTAACAAAATACACTTACTGCCATTTTTCCAAAATTAATTGAGTTAGAATATTTCTAAGTTTGAATGGAGGTGATTTTTAAAATGAACAATTGATTTTGAAATGGAGACTTTGAGCAGTTGTTCCCTAGAAACAACTGTTTGTTTATTTATTTTTATTTATTTATTTATTTTTAGTTTGTTTATTTGTTTATTATTTTTTCCATCCTTGTTTTAAAAGTGTCAAACCAACCTGAACGGAACGTGAACGTAGAAATAAAACTATCGAACTTCATCCGCTAAATTTTTTTGAAGTTGTCTCGTCAGAAACAACCGACGGTTAATTTAATTAATTAGTGCTGCGATTGATTCTGAACATCGTCTGTTGGTTGTTACGAATCAACAGCAACGTTCTCTTTGGCGTCCTTGCTTCAAATTTTTACTGGCTCTGTATAAATACTTACTAATACTAACAAGATATTTAGTGTTATTTATGTCCATTAGAAGGGCGAGATGCTGGGTCGCACTAATTAAAAATTTTAGAACTACAAATAATTTTATTCGTTAGAATTATGTTAAATCCCTACTCTAACTCAAATTTTAAATTCTTTATTCCGTTTTTAGATAAGTAGTATCTGTAATCTGTGAATAATTTTTTTCAAAATATCAAACGTGATGTAAGATTCCTATGAACATAATATGGGACTTTTACGTCGTTCTGCGCATGACGGATTTCTAACTCTGCGACAACTACAGCGGTTGTCAACTTGCTGCGTTCTTTCGTTTCCAAATTTTTGAGGGTTCGTTACTTTACTTTAAGGGTTATTTTTTAAAAGTATCTATGATCTGTACATGATGTATTTCAAAATATCTTACATTATGTAAGATTTTTGCGAACTTCTCTTAAACATCACTTCTTTGACGGGTTTTTGATGATATTTTCTGTTCAGGTAGTAAATGAATATCAATGAAAAACTGTTCAAAAACATTCTTTCATTTAAATTGTTTTTTAATAGATTGATGTTAATAAAAAGAACATGTGTTTATCATTGACAGATAATGGCGTAAACAAACATCAAGACCAGAACGCTTCTAACAATACAAAACATAACAAGAAGATATTAGTAGGCTCGCAAGAAGAGAGCAATTCGAACTTCAAAGCAGGCCTCTGTAGGATGGACTCGGACGAACAAGCGACAGCCGCAATGAAGCAAGACATTTTCAACTCCTCTCCAACTATGAAAACATCACTTTTTAAAAATTTTGACTGCCAACAAGAAAACAACAACAACGAAACGTTAGATAAAAACAGACACCACAAAAATAATGATATATATTCAAATTTTACACTAACCCCGTCAACAATATTTTACTACCCAAACCACAACAACAATAACAACAACACTGCACCTGACAGCAACGACGAGGCATTAGTCAACCACAGACAGCAAATGTATGCAAACTACGACAACATGCTGAACAACTACAGAATGTCTAGCAACAAGTCCTCCCTCTTTGACGGGTCTCAACTAAATCTCAATCGTCACCCAGATTCGCCAACATTGTCACTTCAACAAAATAACAGCCATCACAGAAGCAACAACAGCATCCTCAACAACAACAACAACATTAACAACAACAGCAACAACATTAGCAACAACATCAACAACAACAGCATCAACAACAACAGCATCAACAAAATCAACAATTGCAGCAACAACTCTCTTCCATCGTCATCGTCTTCAGAGAATTCATTTGTAGAGCACACGACTCCACAGCAAGAAGCTCTCAACAAACTGTCACAAGTTGTCATCGGGGTGTGCTGAATATAGTGATCGTGTTTGCAAGTCATCATCATCATCAATGTCATCATCGTCTCATCATTTTTGTCTCACTAAGCAATTTTCATTGGAAATAATCGTTTTGCTAGAATAACGTAAAATTGCCTGGAAAGACTAAATAGATTTAGCATTATTGCGTCCTTAAGATACAGACACACACACACACACATTTACACACACACACATGCACACAAAATTTGAATTGTTGAAGTCTTGTGATCATCCACCTTGTTCATTGAGGAAGTGAGCCGAATGAATGAATGAGCAGGATCAACAGGGGCCTTACCATCTCATCAAGCGATGCCTTCTAACATTTCTATCTTATTTATTCTTCACTTATATAACTTCGGTCACTAATAAATTAAATTTAGATTTGTTAACGAGAATGATTTAATTCGATGTTTTGTATATTTATATATATATTTGCATGCAATTTTATAAATACACACACACACACAATAAAATCCACACAAACACTTACACGTACACACATCCATAAGCATAATATTAAATATTTAAATAATATTTTTATGTGTAAAAATGTATGTATATATATATACATACATATATATATATATATATATATATATATATATATACATAAAAATAAATTCATGTATATACGAACACCACATATGTACTTTTGTATTAATACCCAGAAAAGTGTGTAATATTTGCAAGAATGTATTATTATTATTATTATTATTATTATGGTTATTATTATTATATAATTACTTAAATAACCATGTTGGCCTCATGTTTTTCACAGAAACGTTCCCTCTTGCCCACATGACCACAGGACCTCACGCGCATTCATCGGGAGGCTGCAGACCCTCCAGAATAAGACCGCTCGACTGATCTTCAATAGACCTTCTCGTTTCGGCTCTTCCACCTTCTTTCCAATGCTTTATTGGCCTCACATCTCTGCTCGAATCATTTTCAAAATTGCAGTTCTAACCTTCAAAATATTGTCATCAAAATTCCCAGCTTGCCTTTACGGTCTCATATCCCGCCACGAACATGCCAGCCAGATCGCTCCGCGCATCCTTTGCGGGTTTCTTAAACATTCCTATTGCCAAATCCCACCTCGCTAACCGCGCCGCTCCAAGTGTCTGCAATGCGTTTCCTCGTGAATTGAAACAATGCTCTTCGTTGAAGGTCTTTAAAAAAGGTCAAAGACTCATCTTTTAAACACAAGCTGCGGGCGCCTCTGAAGCAGCTGTGCGAATCGGCGCTATATAAATGCTCATATTATTATATTATTATTGTCATCACAGCAATGTTTCCTCCCACCCAAGTGACCACAGGATAAGGACGAAATTACAAATTTAATAAACGCAATTTTCATTGAAAGTTTTATTTCATGTTTGTACGCGCACCTAAGTAGTTGCGCAGTTGTTCAACTTGAATGTTTTTTATTGTAAAAAATCACCTACGTTGTATTAAAACTTTGCCAACAATGCAATCGTAGCAATCTTTTTTTAAATTACAGCTAAATTAAAAACATTTTGTGAGATCCTGTTTAAAAATAAAATTTGTGATAATCATTCGTTTAGAGCCTCATTAAAATCTGCACAATTCATTCATATTACGAATACAACACAAACACATGTAACCAATCGACATGGTTGAAACGACCAATCGACGAAGTTGAAACGTATTGCATTTTAAACTATTACATTATTAAATACATTATATACATCAATGAATTAAAACCTCAGCATTGTATATAAAGCGTTATTTAACTTGACCAACATTATACGCTAACATCATACATACAACAACATACAACATGCATACATACGTACGTACATACATACATACATACACACATTCATACATACACACACACACACACACATTCATACATACAAACAACAACAACATACATACATACATGCATATATACATACATACAAACAACAACAACATGCATACATACATGCATAAATACATACATACAAACAACAACATACATACTACATACATATTATATGTATATATATATATATATATATATATATATATACACATACGTTATACAAAAAATCAAATGCGCGTAATGTCAACAGCACACACAAGCACATACACGCATACACAAACAACAAAGAAAAATATGTTCGATGGAAAGCTACACAGTTTTATTTATAAACTCTCATCACATGGCAATACATTTCAAATTTCGAAATATAAAAATCAAATTTTCTTTCATTGTTGTTATTTGAGATAACGTTTTTTTCGAGTTAGTAAGAAACGTAATTGATTTTTTGCAACCACACACACACACACACACACCACACACACACACTACACACACACACACAACTACCTGTACACACACGCACGCACATACACAACTACACTTACATACACACACCAACATACGTACGAACGAACGAAATTTTATTTGTTCCCCATAAATTAATGAATGAACCGCAAGAAGGCTGGATGGCCATCAAACAAACATTCACGAAGAAATTTATCTAGTATGGTCTCTTTCACAGAAATTTATAATAATTTTTCAGTTTCTCAACAAAAATTTTGGGACTTATTGTGAAATTGTCAAAAATAATATTCCATATTAGCTGTTAGCGAGATGTGTTAGTTGTTAGGGGTAGAGAATGATTCCGGGCCTTCAAAGTCTTTCACAAATTATTTAATAATAATAATTGCAATTATTTATAAAGATCACTGCGTTTTTGGCATTATTCAATGATATTTATAAATAATTGTCTTTATGCTAGTT